GCTGCTGGCAGAGACTGCAGCAGCACGCGTACGCTGTCAATGGACGTCATACTTTGGGTATTTAGATCGAAAGGCAACACGAGTCGTACATTCTATAAACTAATACTGAGCGCACTCTCACTTATATTAGTTACAAAACTATAAAAACTCAACAATAAATACAACTAGAACGCGAAGACGACGCGCTTTTAGATGCAGGGTTGCAATTAGAATCTAGCAAATGCTGTGTGGAAACGAAACGATATATCGTGACACACTGCAGTCAAATGACAATCGAACAGGTAATCGATATATTGTCCAGCTCCACTTATTGGCGGAAGAGTATAAAATTTTTTAAAAATATCATTATTTCATATATGTATTAGTATTCAATTTGATAACCCGAATACTTAAATATTACTTATATATTATAGTATTAGTTAAGCGAAAGAATAATCATTATTATTACTATTAAAGCAAACGTATCGACATATCGACAATTTAATAAATTGTAATCTTATTTTTTATTCTATCGTGAGCAAACCTAATTTAATTACAATTAACTAGTAACATTCAAAATACTCACACGTTTTTCTTTATTATTTTTATTTTTCGTGAGCAGAATAATAAAATATTTAAAATAATATAATATTTATATATTTTTATTATTTTTTGGTGATTGGTCTAATCAACATTTGCACTGATTTGAGAGTAATGCTTTTTTGCCAACTCCACCACCAGATGCCATCCCATTTGTCCTCCTCATATTTCAAGTATCTTCCGTTTAAATTTCTATGTTTAAATTTGGTAAATTAAATACAATTTGTGCTTTAATTAAATTTATTCTAAATTATTTATATTTTATACTTACGCTCTTGAGCATTGATTGTACCACCATCCTCCATTTCGCTCTATTGCACAGTTGTCAAAGCTCCGATTGTCGTTATCCCGGTCAAATGTGGTGAATTTCATACCTCTTTCGAATTGGAGGGAATCACCGGCATCTCCCGAGAATCTTCCCAAAACCTTCAGCTGGTAAGCATCCTTTTCACTGCCTATACTGAAATTATTGTAGCGGGCAAAGCGGATAGTATCATTGAAATTTTCCAGATGAATGTACAGCTCATGTGGCCTGGAATTTGTCATTCTATAGATTTTCTCCAAACCGATGAACAAGTTGCCATCGAGATCACCAAATCCATCTCTATATTCTTGCCAGCTTCGATTAAAGTCCACGGCATTATCGACGCGTCTCTGAATCACTATCCAGCCAGGACCTGCAATACGTCCGTCGCAAGGTACCGGAAACGGCTCAATTCCTGGAACTTTGATTTCCCATATATCTGAGGAGTTTCCAATGTTTATGCAACTTGATTCGTAAACTTTCGCTTGGATCTCTCGCTTGGAGTCCATTATCATAAGTGCCGCTGGACTCGAAGAAAGATTCGTCTTGCAAGTCTCCAGCATTAAGCTGTTGATCTGTAAAGTTGACTCTAAGGACTTTATTCGTTCATCCTTCATCTCTATTGCCCGCCTGTAAGCTTCCAGTTGCTTTAACAATTCCACAAGGTGTTTGCTTTCCCTGTCCGTTTGGGCTAGCAGATTTTCCACTTTATTCCTAATTGAGTAGACTTCATCGTAGAGCTTTCCTTTGCTCTTGCACTGTTCGTCCTTATCTATGATTGTTCTTTCATATGTTTTTTCCTTCAATTTCAAAACCGCCAACTGACTCTGCATAGCCGCTATTTGCGAATTCTTTTTGTCACACGCTTCCAATTTCTGTTGCATTGTCACGCTGTTCCATAGGAAAACCTTTAAGCAATACTGCGCGCACTGGTTTTCTTGATTAGGCTATGTTACAAATGGAACGATTTAGCTATAGATTCACTAAATACGATCAAATTACCTACCTCTTCATTTAAAGTGTCGTCGGAAAGGGAAATAGATACAATTATAACTAATATTAGGAGCACATATAAATGCTTATATGAATGCATAGCGCTATCAGGCGTTGCTTTCAGCAACATAAATTATAAACTAATTGCATGGCTCTAAATCATTTATATATACGCGAAATTCTAAGCTGCTGATAAGAATGTCGCATGGGCAATCGCTTCTAGGTCAAGTGCTATTTGTACACTATCAAATTATTACAATAGGTATATTATAGCCATAATGAAAAGTGAAATAAAAAAAATAGGAACAAACTCTATTTTATGAATATACTAAATTAAGTTAGTAAACAAAAGTTTCTGCTTTAAATAGTGGTAAAAAAATTAAAGGAAAGCAACACATGAATAAACAATATAGTAGTTGAGTACGACTTTAAATAAATATTGTTTACCGCTAATATATAACAACTATTTTTTCTTTACAAAATTTACCAGAGAAACTCATTTAAAAACCAGTGCTAGTTAATGGAGTTAAAGCAAGGAATATAAATAATCGATAACAACCTATCGAGAATAGACACATGTGCGCTCAGAGAGTTAAATAACACATTTCAACTTTGTTTAACAGAATACAAATTATAAATTGTACCAAGTTTTCAGTGTTTTTGATCAGACAGTGCAGTGAATAAATCAATTAATAATGAGTTTGCGGGCTTACGGACTCCTCTTGAGGACACGTCGAATGAGCCAGGTATGCCGGCAAGCGCATCGGGCGGCGACCTTTGCCTTAAGCTTGCCTCTGCAGCAGCTGCAGTCACCGAGGACAGGTGAGAGCCTTGACATTAAGTTTGCAGAGCAGCATGATTGATGTGCCATTGTCTTGCAGCTTTGCCGCAACGTCGGCTTGCCACTGCTGCACAGGAATCTTCGAAATTGGACAAGCATGAGTTCCAGGCAGAGACACGACAATTGCTGGACATTGTCGCCCGCTCCCTGTACTCCGACCACGAGGTGTTTGTGCGCGAGCTGATATCGAATGCAAGCGATGCATTGGAGAAGTTCCGCTACACAGCCCTAAGCACAACAAATGAAGGGCAGCTGGCGGCGAGAGATCGTCCACTGGAAATTCGCATCACTACAGACAAGCCGCAGATGCAGCTCATCATCCAGGACACGGGTATTGGCATGACCCGTGAGGAACTTGTCAACAACTTGGGCACCATTGCACGCAGCGGATCCAAGCAGTTCCTCGAGGAGCTCAAGCAGCAGCAGCAACCCGCCCAAGCCAGCTCCAATATAATTGGCCAATTCGGCGTGGGATTCTACTCCGCCTTTATAGTTGCCCAGCGCGTGGAGGTTTACACGCGAGCAGCCACTCCCGACGCGGTTGGCTTGTGCTGGTCCACCGACGGCAGCGGAACCTATACCATTAGGGAGGCTGAGGAGGCCGAGCACGGCACCAAGATCGTCCTCCACCTGAAGACCGACTGCCGCGAGTATGCGGACGAGGACCGCATCCGCACCGTGATCAAGAAGTACAGCAACTTTGTAGGCTCGCCCATTCTGCTGAACGGCAAGCAAGCAAATGAGATCAAGCCGCTGTGGCTAATGGACCCGCAGAGCATCTCCAAGGAGCAGCACCAAGACTTCTATCGCTTCATAAGCAACAGTTTCGATTCTCCGCGCTTCACACTGCATTACAACGCCGATGTTCCACTGAGCATCCATGCGCTGCTCTACTTCCCGGAGGGAAAGCCCGGTCTGTTCGAGATGTCCCGCGACGGAGCCACGGGCGTCGCCCTGTACACGCGCAAGGTGCTGATCCAGTCCAAGACGGAGCACTTGCTGCCCAAGTGGCTGCGGTTTATCAAGGGCGTGGTCGACTCTGAGGACATTCCCCTAAATCTGAGCCGTGAACTGCTACAGAATAATAGTCTGATCCGCAAGCTATCCTCTGTTATCTCCAGCCGTGTCATCCGCTTTCTGCAGGAGCGCGCTAAGAAGCAGCCAGAGGAATATGAGGCCTTCTATCGCGACTATGGACTCTTCCTAAAGGAGGGCATTGTTACGTCCAGCGACACTTCAGAGAAGGAGGAAATCGCCAAGTTGTTGCGCTTCGAATCGTCCAAATCGCCCACTGGTCGCATCTCTCTGGACGATTACTACAAAGAAGTCAGTCCCGACCAGAAGGATATATACTACCTGGCGGCCCCTAATCGCATCCTTGCCGAATCCTCGCCCTACTACGAAAGCCTCAAGAAGCGAAACGAGCTCGTGCTCTTCTGTTATGAGCCCTACGATGAACTAGTGCTCATGCAACTGGCACAGTACAAGAACAAGAAGCTGGTCTCCGTTGAGAAGGAGATGCGCAACCAGTCGCAGGACCCGGCTGCTCTGCAGGACTTTGGAGAGGGCAGCCTTAGTAGCGCTGAAGTGGACAGCCTTCTGCCCTGGCTGCAGAGCCAGCTCAAGGGTCAGGTGGCTAAAGTAAAGGCTACCACGCGCCTGGACACACATCCTTGTGTCATCACCGTTGAGGAAATGGCCGCTGCACGACATTTCATACGCACTCAAAGCCACCAGCTTCCTGAAGAGAATCGTTTTGCCTTACTTCAGCCAGAGCTGGAAATCAATCCCAAGTGAGTCTCCAATGTATATACCTAAGCTTTTTTGATTAATCGGTTATTTTCCCACAGACATCCCATCATAAAGAAGTTGTTTTCCTTGCGTACAAGCGAACCAGAACTGGCGGAGCTGATCGCCAAGCAACTGTTTGCCAATGCGATGGTTGGCGCAGGCCTCGCGGAAGATCCACGAATGTTACTCACTAATATGAACTCGCTGTTATCCAAAGCTTTAGAAAAATACTAAGGCAACACTAAAATAACTAAATTTTAAATATAAAAACTGTTACTTTTAATCAATTTTATTAAATATACTAAATACCAAATAAATATCAAAATTTTGGTATGTTCATAAAATACCAACGGAAATCGCGCTCTGTCGTGGTGGTACATATCCAGTGCTGAAAGTCGACAATAACATCGATAAGACATGAAACAGCAGCGCTGAAAACCGCCCCCGTGACTAAAGTTTATAAAAGAAAACGAAAACGCACCGTAGGAGTTCAGTGCCGTATCCAAAAGCAGAGCGTGCTTTAGTCGCATAGCAGCAGCAGCAGCCACCAATAAACCCGAAAGGCCAGCCACAGAAGCGAGTTGCTTTAAATTAGATTTCTAATCACGTGAGTGAAAAAAAAGAAACAATCGAGTCATGTGAGGCTCCATCGAAAAAATTCATGTCAAGTAGTAACGATGCTGCCGCGACAACTTGCGAACTAAATAAAAGCAAATTACATACAGAAATTGCAAAAAAAAAAAAGTCCTACTAAAAATTGGTACAATAGTATTTTCTGCCACGACACACACACACACTCATGCAGACACACCAATGGCAATGAATGGTACATGTATGTAGTAAGAGTGTGCGCGGTGAGAGAAAAGCTATAAATTTGACTCAGTACCAAAAGATTTTGCTTTAAAAATGAAAAGAACTCTCAAATATTGAAAACTGTGTTCGAAAACTAAGTTTGAAATAACTCATGTGACTGTGTGCTTGTGTGTAATTTTCCAGCAAGTTTGTCATTGCCAATTGGACTCTTTTGAGCTCATTTCATCATGCGCTCAAACACACACACACAACACATATGCACATGACTTCGACACACTAAACACAAGGGCTCTCAGAGACGCACTCTAAGTCTCGAGATAAAATTCAATAATTGTGAGCGAGCGGTGAGCGTTTTTGCCCTCTTTCTCGGCATGCTCACTCACAAATCGTACGTCGTCGTAGCAGCATTGTGGTTCGAAAAGTAGCGCAAGAAAATTTTTTATGTACATACATATATTGTATATGTAATAAAAATACTTTTTCAAATTTGCAAAGCAAAACGCGCCGATAAATAAAAGAGCAAAGTGAAACAAACGAAAATCATCAACAAAAAATTAAATTTAAATTTTCATCTTGTAGCCCAAAACACACAACAAAAAACAAAGCAAAATGTCTTCAAGTACGAGCATCGACAATCCCATCTATGGCCCCTTCTTCGGTGTTATGGGCGCTGCATCCGCCATCATCTTCTCAGGTAAGTTTTAACCAGTTCGTCATCTACAAAATACCCTCCAAACGGCAGAGCTTGTACATAAAAGGGATACACAGCGCTGCATGCGTAGAAAAATCGAACATTGTATGGCGTAAACGCTAGAAGAACATCTAGTCAGCAAAAAAAGTACCTGTCTGTATGTACGTACGTAGGCTTGTTTGTTGCTGACGAAAGGCAGCAGGCGGTGGCGGTGGCGGCGGCAAGTGTACAAAAATTCAATACACTCTTAGTCGGACACATACATGCATACATGTATAACCGCAGTCGTACATGTGTTGTGTTGAGTTTTAGTTCGTTCGCAATGCGCGTGACTAGCAAAAAAGAGGGGAAAAGTTCCATATTTTAGACAGAATAGTAAGCCACATTACATTACATAAAAACAAATTCAATTATATTCAAATTTTGTATAGGCGTTATGCGCATTTAATTGCTTTGTTGCAAAAACCAAAATGGCAGCATCGAAATACAAAAATTTCAGCTTTTATTTTTTCAACATGCTAAAAACGGCATTACTCATACACACAGCAAAAGCCAGTGAGCGGCGTATAAATGCAAAGAGCATATGGCAGAGAGCGAGAGAATTGCGCACGCTCTTCTGTAGAGCATTGCCATTGTTCTCTCTATTCTACGTGTGAGTGAGATTGAGTGCAAGATTACATTTGAAGTTTGTGACGCGAAGCTTGCGCGCTTACCTCTCACAAAGTCACAAGACCAACTTTTTGGGGTTGCCATACTGAAGTATTTTTTCTTGCTTTGTCTTTTAAATGAATGTAAAAAAGAAAAAGAGCGTAACTGCACGCATGGGGCTTCCGGAGATAAGCGGTTAGGCAAATGTTGATAGTTAAGGGAGTGGAATATAGAGGCTAATATGACATCAAATGCTATATTTTCATCACGTGGAATGAAGAACATGAAAATTAACATATTAAATAGGTTAATACGACATGATTTTCAACTCATATCTGATCACGGTATTCACTACGTAAGCACATGATAAATCGAGTTGCATTGTTAGTTTTTAAAGCACAATAGCAATCATCACAATAAAACGTAATCACATGCCACTTCTTACCTCCTTCTTCTGCCTCATAAGCCCTTGCATGATCAATCGACTCGATGACCAGAAGGCATCACATGTCTAGGTTTTTTTCTCTATGGCTTATCATCGAATACCATACAAGTATATTCCACCTACCTTAGCTGATAAGTAGCACGGGCTTATTTACCAATAACTTGACTGGCGATAAGATAAACGAGCCATGTTTTCTTTTCGAAAGCGAAGAAGAATAGAATTAAAGAGTAGCACGCGCCTTTTTACAGATTGGCTCAATGCTAAATGTTTCAGGTGGTTTTACAGTTATTGTTTCTTACATACAAAATAAAGCTTGTAACCTATTTAAAGTATCTGGATAAATAAACAAGACACAAGTCAATGACATAATTATTATGTCATGCATCAAATTCAGTCTTGTGATTTCCCCCTCCCTGAAAATAAAAACCAACAACTCAGAGTTTGCTTTGCTTTAATATTTACTTTGGTGATTAGCGTAGCGGTGTATATAAATTTTTAGATAGCGCTAAGACGTCTTTGTGACATGGCAACAATGATATCGCAACGGTTATGTAATTAAAATCAACAACATAATTCATTTTTGAGATTAAAATACAATAAAGTAGTGAAAAAATCTAAGACTGAATTGCAAGCGGCTTGAATATATGTACAATGTCTGGCAACACCATTGAAGTGCTGACACGATCACAAGAAGAGAGGAAAACAGCGAGCGAGTGAGTTTTAGCAGCACTCAAGCTGTCAGCTCTCTTTTATGATGCACTGTAGTCAGTCGACTGATACAGCTCAAAAATTGTGATAGATTCTGACTCATTGGCTGTCAATATCGCACACAATGGGCGTTGCTTTTTAAGCTTTTATCAGTGCACACTGTTATTTTTGTGCCCGTTATTTCGATTTCAGAACACGCTTCACGCTCACACAATGTACCCAATACAAGAAGCACACATACACACAGTCAGATGCACACGCATATTTGCACCCACATCCACATGCCTGCGCAAACTCAGTATCAAAATAGTAGTAGATAAATTTACATACAAAATAATAGTAAAGTGTACATACACATGTGCGCAAGAATCTGTTTTACTTGTATTTTAATAATACAAAAACTTGTATGCCAATGTCACGTGCAAGATTTATGTTTACTTTTCAATGCTTTTAAAACTTGCAAAAAATTAAGTAAAAATAAAAAAATTTCCATTGGAGAAGCAGCTGCTTGAGTTTTGAGCGCAGTAACGACCCTGTTTTATCTGAGCGAGAGAGGGAGCGAATCAGAGAGTATAAAACGTGGCAAACTCAAAAGTTCGATTGTGTGCGAGTATGTGCTTGCTATAATACAATAAACGCTGCTCTATAATAATAAATTAACTCCTAATTAATATGATTAGTACATATACATATATGTACATACATATATTAATGTATTAACCTGCATTTGCTCACGTCCTGTGCTGGCTATTATCTAATCAATTTGAGATGACGTACATGAAGCATTTTCTCAATTTGTAATCACAAATTTACACAAATAATCACAAATGAGGTGGGTGATTACAAGAAGAAGAGCGCAATGTCTCAGCCATTAAGCTACTCGCGAAGCAATGCAGAATGAGATGTTTTTCATTTCTTCAATTTTTACTTTTTCTCCTTCTGGTTTGTGCATTCCAATGCCTTTTACTTTTTCACTTGTCTCAAACGGCAAGAACAACAGCAGCAAGAGCAGCAGCACTGCGTCGACATCGCTCATCTCTCAGAGCAAAGTTTGATAAGCGACTGCTGCTGGTTCTTTTGCTCTCTCTCCCGCTCTCTCTCTTCTCTCTTTGTCCGCTTCTCGTTCTATCGTGGTTCTTTTGTCGCGCACTCAACTGTGACGCTTCAATTTGTTGCTGTTGTGCTGTACATGATATACATGTGAGCATGCAAGTGTGTGCATATTGGTTACACACACACATGCGTATATCTTTATTCATTTCGCCTGATACTTTCATATATTCCTCACATTTATATTTATCTTAAAATGTGCTGCTTGTTTGTTTTTGTTTTTATGCTCGCTCCTCTTCCTTTCCTCTTTGTCGGCTTGTGTATTGTTCACTAACGGCGCCCACGCGAATGTCTGCCGTGCGTCTGTACCATTGAGAGTAGATAAAAAGAAATCGAACGAGTCAATGCCACATTAAAAATTTTAATTATTACTTAATGTAAATTTGCGAATTTGAATGCAGGGCAACCGCTGAAAAAGCTAAATGGCGCGCGCTTGGAACTGTTTTGCTTTGTATGTGTGCATATGAGTATGTGTCCGTGTGCGCGCTAGCCTTTAGTTTCTTACAGTCAGTGGCCAAAGTAATGAGCCAGGCATCGATCAGATGTTCTTTGGGCGTTACATATCAATTGTAATTGTAGAAATGAAGTCGAAAAATCAATAGGATTATAAAACATGCCAATGGATTTAATATGTTAATTTCAATTCAAAACAAACTTGGCTTCTGGATTTTTTATTTACTTAAATACACTTGGTTGGTAATCCCCTAGACGATGACAATTCTAATTTTTATACCCTGAACCCATTGAAAATGGGAATTCAGGGTATAATGGTTTTGTTGAAATGTATGTAACAGGCAGAAGGAGGCGTGGCAGACCCCACAAAGTATATATATTCTTGATCAGGGCGACGAGCTGAGTCTATTTGGCCCTGTCCGTCTGTCTGTCTGTCCGTCTGTCCGTATGTTTGAACGCGTCGATTTCCGAAGATATAAGAGCTAGAGACTTCAAATTTTTTTTAAAATGTCCGTAATTACAGCGCGCATATCAAGTTTATCATTAAAAATCGATAACTCATCCCGATCTTTTTTTATCGATAAAAAACCTTATCGAATACCAGTTATAAAATTATATCTTCTACACCTTTATGGCTAGAGTCTCCAAATTTTAAATGTATTTTTATATGCAATTTATACAATTTCGGTTTTTGTTAAAATTTACCCCCCACCTCTAGATTCACCCCCTCACCCTCACTTTTGTAAAAAACGTATTTCAAATACTACAGACTTGTGCTTTGGCAATTACATGCATATCTTTGTTATAATCATAATCTGAAAGTTTCATGAAGATCGTACGTCCACAAAAAAAGTTATTAAACAATTAATTTCTCATAGTAAGCGATCACTGCCGCCCATGCGTGTTTATGCTTGTGTGTGTGTGTGTATGTCTGTGTGTGTGTGTGTGTGTGTATGCCTGTGTGTGCCTGCATATGTGTGTGAGGTGTGTGTGTGTGTGTGTGTGTGTGTGTGTGTGTGCGTGTTTCTTGTGTAAGCTGAAAGACGCGAAAAATGATTGAAATAGCTATTACTCCAAGGGTTCAGGGGATCTCGTAGTCGAGCAGTCTCGACTAGAGCTTTCTTACTTGTTAATTTAAATTTTCTTTCGATTAATGTGTTCTCTGTGCCTGTTTCTGTTTCTGCTTCTGTTCCTTAGTATTGAATAGCGACAATATATACATAGATATGTACATATTTCACATTAGGCAAAAAGAGAAGGAAACAATAACAAGTATATTCCGGTTATTATGACGTAGATACGATAGAGAAATCGTCAGCTCGATTTGTTTATTAGTAAAATTTATAACAAACACGACAGCTTGAAGAATGTTATTCTATTATTTTTTATTTTTTAAAAGTTACACGATTTGATTCGTTTAGTATGTATTTTTGCGAGCCCTTCATTTAATTTGCACCGATAGAATATCAATTTGAGTGAAAAAGTTAATTAGCATTGAAAGTCACATGACAGTGCCAATTAACGCAGGCAGTGACTGTAGCTCTGTGGCTCGCTCACTCTTCTCTCTATCTCTTTTCTTCGCTCAGCTGTCGCAGCGACAAATGGCATTAACGTTAACTCTGAAACATGCACACACACACAAAACTCACACACGCATACATATATAAATCTATTTATGTATATACTTATAATTTATACAGATGTGCAGTTGTTTTTTTTTTTTTTTTTTTTTTTTTTGTTAGCCTACCAGCAGTTATTGTACATAACTGTATGTGTGTTTTAATTCGATTTATTGGCGCTTCACGCACACAGGCGCTAATGTTTTGAAAATGTATTCAACAAATACCATTGACCATCGGTCATATGAAACTGGTTTTATATTTCAATGTTCAGTACACGTACACACATACTTAAAATATATACATACATACGTATACATGCATGTATGTATGTATATAACAATCATCGGATATTTGGCAACTCTAGCACATTTGCTCGACCTTATCAAATAAATATCATAAAGAGAGTAGGCTCAAACTCAAATATGAGAGAAGAGAGTGTGCGTGTGCACAACAAAAACAAACGAAGCGAAGCGAAACGAAAAAGTCACTCAAATGACAACTCTGACTCTGACTGTTGAGCAGTTATATTTTATGTATGTATATGTATTGGCGTACATACGTAAGCGATTTTCGTGAAGTGCGGGTCATGTGACCGCTAAATGTTACGTTGTTTTACAGAATTCGCTAACGCCAACATGATTTTCGGTGTGGGATCTACATGTGTGCGTATGCATGTATTTGAAAGCATGATCATAACCATTATATAACGCCAAATGCTCATTCAAGGCTTACCAATGGGACCTTACTTAAGCAATTTTTGAAGGGGAAATAGACTTTGATGAAATACAGGGTTTTAGTATTTGTAGTATTTGTACTAAATATAATATTGTTTTCTTTATTCCCCAGCACTCGGCGCCGCTTATGGCACTGCCAAGTCTGGTACCGGTATTGCTGCCATGTCGGTGATGCGTCCTGAACTGATCATGAAATCCATCATTCCTGTGGTCATGGCGGGTATCATTGCCATTTACGGTCTGGTCGTCGCCGTCCTGATTGCCGGCCAACTTGATGTTCCCCAGAATTATAGCCTGTACAAGTGAGTATTGACTATATCTTATCTGTGGACAAGTCTCGAAGCTAATCCTTCTCACGCTTTCAATTGAATAGGGGCTTCATTCACCTGGGCGCTGGCCTGTCCGTCGGCTTCTCGGGCATGGCGGCCGGCTTCGCGATCGGCATTGTGGGCGATGCCGGTGTCCGTGGCACGGCACAGCAGCCTCGTCTGTTCGTCGGCATGATCCTGATTCTCATTTTCGCTGAAGTGTTGGGTCTCTACGGCTTGATTGTTGCCATTTACATGTACACGAAATAAATCAATCAATTCAACACACACCCAACAACAAGTAGACAAACAGCCCAGCAATCAACAACAACAACAAGAGCAACTAAAACAACAACTGCAAGTAAATCGTGCACCACATTTAATCAAATCACCATCCAGCAATAACAAATGTCAACAAAACTTGGTGGCAACTCTGGTGGCCGTTTGTATATAGCAACAAAAACAAAAAACTAAAAAAAACGACTGTAAATGCACAGTTGGGCGCCGCCATTGTCGTCACATAAGGATGATGATGATTAAGAAGAACATCAACAACAACAGCAACACCATTTATAATTCCCTGTTATTTGCCGCTTTTACTTTGCATACACGCATACATATGTGCATAGAGATATCATGTATGTATGTGTTAATTGATCAATTGCTGGTCCACTGTTTAGTTTAGTTTATTTTTTCCGTTCAAATCAATTTTGCAGTTAAGTTCATAAAGTTGTAATCAAATATCAAATTTGTCTCTTACTCTTTTCCTTTATCTTTATTATTTTTTGCGCTTCACAAATCGTGTGCTCTTTGTTATTTGTTTTTTCCATTATTATTATTAAATAATGTTTAGTGTATATGTAAAATTCGTTAACGAACTCTGTAAAGAAAACCCATAACAATTGTAAATTTGCATACAGCTGCAACAACAAATGAAACAAATTTAGCGAAAAGGGCCAAACAACAACAAAAGTTAAATTAAATAAATCACATGTCGATACCAACAACAGCAACAGTAGACGAAAAAACACTTGCGAAGGAATAGAAACGGTGACAACGCTTGCAGCGTTGCCACCTCGCGAGACAACTGTGCAAGCGACAACGTTGTTGTTGGCGATAAGAAAAAGACACAACAAAAACTACTTGGCAATACTTCAACAACTGCAACAACAACAACCAACTACATACAATCATAAACACACACACACACCACACACACACACACACGCATACAAATGTAACTAAGTCCTATGTTTATTTTTAATTATTGTTCAATTCTACGAATAATATATTAAAAATTTATAATAATAAATTATATATATATATAATTATGATTTTTTTGTGATAAGAAAATACATAAAAAATTGTAATACAAAAACAACAATTACGGTATTGATATACATAATATATATACACATTATATATATGTAAACGAAAATGATAAACAATTATACATATTAACATGAGAAAGTTGTTATAAACAAAAGCAAAAGCTATCAAGAACATGATAAAACGGTAAATGATAGAAAAGAAATGAAGAAAAACGAGTTACACTCACCTACACACAATTTTTCCGCTGTTATTGTATAGTAAAGAAAAATATTATATATATATATAAAATATATATTATGTATAAAATATTAACATGAAAATGTAGCAAAATTATAAACAACAAAAGTCGTGCAAGCAAAACAACTATATATAAACAAACAACCAAGAAAAAAAAACAAATACGTTAACAACAACAACGTTAAGAAAAATGCAACAAAAAAATTGTAAAATCCCAACAAATTAGAAGTTATGCTAAAAGAAACCTAGAACAACAACAAATCGATTTGTATATTAGCAAATAGCAACAACAATTTGTATATCGTTAACAACAACAACAACAACAACGTCAGCAGTGTGGCAGGTGGGCGTGGCTGCGGTGCGTGCTGCCCCTTGGCCGCCGATGCATTCGTGATGCTGAGAAAGCGGAGGTGACCAACCCGTGCAGATCGCGCGTCGCCCAGCCACGCCCAGACACCTGCCCACACTCACTCTCGCGCACAGCCCAAGAGCAACAACAATAAGCGAAAAAAATGCACAAAAAGACAACATTAAAAAACAAGCAAAGCTTCGAAACGCACACCACGCCCACTGCGGAAGCGTTGCCTCCATCCCTCTGAAGTAGCAGCACCCGTGTCGTGTTCGCTTTATGGAGTGAGGGCATGGTCTGCCTGAAGGGGGCGTGAGGCGTCGTTGCTCTGGCTGCCGCGCGCCAGTTTGTACTCATTGCTATCACTATTTGCATTCTCCAATAACTGTACATCCACACACAAACACATATACATATACGGTCGGTCAGGTTTTTAGAGCAACTATTGTAACTGTGTATTCGAGAAAAACAACATCAACAACAACAGACATTGTATGAAATAAATTGTAATTTCTAATTTCCAAAAAAAAAAAAAAAAACATTTATTTTTTATATGGGCAAGAAATGGGTTTGAGGGTCAAACGAAGTCAGTCGTCAATCTGTGAGTCTCGAAATCGGATAACAACAACAAAACACTGAAGTTATTTTGGCTTTTCCGCCATATCTGACTTATTGAAAGTTCTATAGCAGAAGAAATTACAGAACAGTAGATTCGGGAATTACAGCTTTTTAGATATTTGAAAACCCCTATATATATGTGCTATATCAAAGTAAAGATTGATTTTGCACACCTTAATTTACTTTTATAGGCTTCAGTATATTTAATACATTAAATAACTTGATTTAATCGCGATTTAGCTATTTCGCCATTCAATTGCGAGACAATTTAACTGAAATAATCGCATCACTGTTGCCTAACATGAGCTACAACTGTGGCCCAACAGTTGTTGGTTCATTCTGTTAGTTAGCGAGGGATTAACATTCCAGTTCATCCGCCCCATTAAGTGGGCTATGCAAAGCAGTCTGTTAACTTAACAGTGTGACGTCACGTTATCGGGAATAGAAGCGTGTATCTATCTGCTGAGTTGTGTATGAAAATGAAGCAGCTTTTACCACTGTTGTCTAGACTGAAGTGTGGCCAAGTACAAGTAATGCTTAGAAACTAAACTTGTCTATAATAGGGGCTACGTGATATTGGTTTTACAGGCCTATAAGTAAGTATTTAGAATCTGCCTGCTTTGCTAACTTCTACCCGAAATTTTGAAGGTGGTTCAATCACTTTCTCTAGACCCGTGAGGGCACATTTGTTGGTCTTCCTTTTTATATAAATATTTAAAAAAAATGCAATCTGTATTAAGAATTCATTATTCACTATCCATATTGGGCATACTATTGCTGCTATAGAACTATTGACTTAGTATTTGACTCTAAAAAATTTAAAAGATTCACTAAATTATGTCTAGCACCCAGGCATTTCTGTTACTCTGGCGAGACCCCAGAGGCTGATGTATTCATATTGGGAAAACTAATATAACTGTTTAATCTGGCTTGGCAGACAGTTTTAAAGAATTCCTTTTCTATTAAAATATTCCAATACCCGCCTTGGTGTCCATCAACTGATCTGATGATCTGATCTGATATTGGATCTGGAGATTGTAAATCTGGGAAATCGGATTGTATAACATACTTGTTTTGCCTTACGTTATCCCTTTTTCATACCCTTGGAAATTGTAGTGCATATCATAAAAACATATGTTACGATAGAAAAAGAGCCGAAGTCTGAACCTCGATCAGTAAGGAATTAAAATTGATTCATTTTATATGGCCCAGATCTGGAACTTACCTTCACAAATGAAATACTCGTTACTGTTAAATAAAAACACTGGATTTGGTTTTCGTTTTTCAATATTTTCTTGCCTTTATACATATATATTTTTTCTGTTCTTTCTCAGCGTTTACATGGTTTCTCTTTACTGTTTACTGTCGGTTCCAATTGTACAAACTAAGTTTCGTGTATATGTAGAGTTAATACAATATATATAGGATATATATATATATATATTTTAATGTATATATCTATATAATCTTGATGTATAAAATGTTCTTTTGATTACATTAGTTGGAACTGAATGTGGAATCAAAATACGTGTTTCTTTGTTTTTATTTTTCGTTTTATCTGCTTGGCGAGCTCTAAAATTATTCATAAGTTCGGAAAACACGATGCAGAAATTTTCCAATTGCTTTGCTAATTCTTAATGGATTCGTATTGAGTTTAAGTAATGCTTGATTTTAAATTTATTAAAGCGGTTTGCATTAATTGTAATTCAATATTTAATATAGTTGTATTCCTTGTATATCTTCGTAAACTATGTACAAAACGAATTGGCGTTAAGAAGGCGAAGGCTATTTGGATTTTGACAGATTCTGGAAGATCTGGAACCGAAGTTCCGAAGAAACGATATATGGGCAGTCGAGAAATAGTTGAGGAAATCGAGGGAATTCTAGAAGGGCAGCTTAGGTATGCTAAGCAATGGCGCTTACGTAATATTAGCAAAATATTCCATTCTTTAACCTAGATATTTAAGTTTACTCTCAATTATTTGTTTAAACGTTCTTTTCTTTGTTTTTGTTTTTCTGTTTTGTGTTGTTTTGTTGTTGCTTTGTATACTTTCCCTTGTTCGGCTGAATTTGACGACAGCTAACCATATATTAAGTATAGTGTCTATCATTAAGGTTCTTTAGAAAACTTGTCTCGAAAAATTCCTATTTACTTTGTATTTTTTCTTTTTTCTTTTTTGCAAAAATCTGAGGTAGTTTTATATATATATCTGATTCTATACATATATATATATACCTATATATGCTCTTTTCATTTTGAATTTTCTCTCATATTTGTTTTGTTTTTGTTGTTTCTTTGTTGTTGCGGTACAAAATATCGAAGAATCTTATGTTAGGCAATCCCAAAAATATCTGTTTGAACTCCGAACCTACATAGGCGATTGTTAAAAGTTATTGCTTTCAATTGTATATAAATCCACATATATATATATATAGAAATATATATACATAGTTATATGGCCTATATCATTTACAAAATGCAACTCTTGCCTCATTCTCATTTAAAACTGATAAAAAACAGCTAGAGATTAGAAAGTATTCTAATGCCATAAGTGTAATGCGTTAACTACACGATATATCTATATCGATAGATGTATATATTGTATATACGATATAGTACACATCTGTGTATGTGTGTTTTCTTATAGTTCTTGTATACAATTCTTAATTCGTAGGCTTAAGTACTCTATTTAGGGGCAGGGAATCTAGCTAATCAAGCATTACTAAGTCTTGAGTATGGGCTACAGTACGCACACCGATATATTGTTCATATATTTATATATATATATTAAATATACTTTATTGGGAGTTTATGCTTTATTATTGTTATTGCAACATACGAAAAAGCTTTGTGCGAAATCATTCTCGAAAATCCTCTCGGTATATTTATATAAATGATCTATAAATTTACTTTTAATGGATATATAGATTTATCAGTCGATCTTAAACTGTTCTTTTGTTGTTGTTGTTGTATTCATTTCGCTTTGGCAGTGTTGAGTACTTTATAGGGTATTCCTCGTCTTAACCTTATATATTTTAAATGATTTATTGTTAAGGCGAACTCTGCTCGAACCTGACCTCTGACCTTTGACCTTGACCCTAGACATGTGACTGTAGATAAATTGAATAAATGATAACAAAAATAAATAAACCAAAAATAAAAATTGCAAATCAAACAAAAGAGTGAACACAATAAATGTTTTTATTGTTTTTTGTTTTTTCTTTTCTTTTCTAAATTAAGTTTGTTTAAGTGTAATTAATTATTTTTTAAATATTTACATACGAGTTTCCTAATCAAAAATTTTTACTACATTAATTTGTTTAAGATATTTTTGTTGTTTCTTTTCTTCTTTGCTCTGGCTGTTTGCTAAAAAAAAAAAAAAACCTAAAATCTGCTTTTGCATTGCTGTTCGAATTGAGTAATTTGTTTAATTAATTACTTAGTTTTAGAATAATTTTTGTTTTGTTTTTCTAGCGATAAATGCTTCAAGTCTTATTCTTGTTTGTTGTTTGTGCGTATTCTCTTTTGTTTTGGAAGTACTTTCGAATACTACGAAACGATCAAATTAACGAATACAAAATAGAGCGAAACGAAAACTAAACACGTCTACACTTAGAATACATAAAGTTATAATGAAGATGATATTGGGAGAAACAAGTCTTGTCTGCGGCGGTGTTAAACTCTTCTTCTTCTACTTTGCTCCTTCGTTCAGGCAGTTCACGATTTACATAAAGTAGTTACAAATTAAAAATTAAACACTATTAAGTTTATACCTAATATATAATTATATATATGCTTGTCTTTAGCAAAATAAAAATAAAATAATAAAAATAATATATATAATTTGTTCACGCGTTTTTTTTTTGCTTTTTTCTTTAGTATTTTTATGATATTGAAGCGATTTTTATATACATTTGATGTGGATCTGCATTATCTTAGAACTGAAAGCAAGATCTGCTCTCTCTCTCTCTCTCGTATATAACTATATTTATGTATGTATGTTACAAGACTTATCTTATAGTATGCATGTGTGTGGGTGTATGAAGGTTTTGGGCTTTGTTGCTGTGTGGGTGGCCTTAGATACGAATGGAACTAAAATCTACTTGTCACTGTTTACTCGTTTGTCCTTTGGGGGCATATTTGCTGTTGTTGTTGTTGTCGTGGAGGGGGAGCGTTGCTTAATTACTTAACGAATACTCTCTAGATGGGCACCAGTGCATCTGTCGGCACTATTTTCGGCGCTGCCTTGGGCGGCTTGCGCGGATGCTTGCTGCGCTGCTGCAATTGCAGCTTGGCTATGCTGAGCACGTGCTGGTAGCTGGAGACGGTGCCGCTGCTGGAGCTGATTGTGGCCGAGACACCGTCGTCCTCGTCGTCGTCCTCTTCATCTTCCTCATCCTCATCGTCCTCGTCATCTTCTCCGTCCTCTCCGTCTCCATCGTCCTCCTCGCTGTCCGCGCAGTCGCTGCCGCTTGTCTCCTCCTGCTGCTCCTCCTCCATCCGCTGCTGCTGCTGCTGCTGCTGCCGCACCTCGCTCACGCTGTAATCATCGGCAAACAGCTGCGCGTCGTAGCGCAGTCTGTAGGCGGTGCTCAGCAGGCTGTCGATGCGCGTCTTCTCCGCCGGACGCATGTGCTTAATCTGCAGCACCTTCGAGTGCTGCCGCGTTCCGTTCGGGCATTCGGGCATCCACTCATCCGAGATGCTGCACCAATATGCATATGATTCGATTAGTATTCCCACTTTTATTTGATTCTGTTTCACTTACATTTCGCGTGGGGACCAGCGCACGAAGCACTCGCTGAAGCCTTGCCGATTTCGACGCCTCATCAGGCACTGGCCCTGGAACGTGATGGCCTGGGTGCCATTCGTCAGCGTGCTGATCTGACGCAGGCGATGCTGCAGTCCCTCCATGATGCCCGTGTCGAAGAAGTCAAACATGCGAGCTGTACGGAGATAGAGAGTGCACACATTACATATCTTATAAATCAAACAAGTGCCCAGCTCTAGTGGGGGTGCCCGACTAGGAGATGCCCTGGACCGCGCTCGATTTGCGTTAAACGAACTCCCTAGCTTTAACCTAGCTTAAGCCTGTACAAGAATAAATAAGTAGAAGTACGGGCCGGAACCCGAACCAACAACAATGCACTCGCGACTCTACTGACACCGTCTGTATTCCCCAAAAAGAATCAGCTCTGCTGACACCGTCACTTCATAATTCTAATAATAATGTAGCAGTCAAAGAATAGCAATCAAACGACGTCATCTGCTTCCTCTTTCCTACTACATCTTCCCTTTTCTACCAGCACCGTCACTCTTGGGTGCTTGAACGCTCAGCAGCAAAGCTGCTCATTATAAGGTTTTGTTTAATAGTACCTTCTGTTTTACCAAGTAGATTTTGATAAGATGCTCAGCACATAATCTACATATTCGATATTTCGATATTGGAAACTGTACCTATCTCGATAACATTTAAACAGCGAATAGTTATCGATTGTCTAGCTCTTAAAGGTTTTGGGCAGAGCTAAGCCGACTCAGCTCATATACATAACGGAGTCAGCCTCCTTCTGTTACATTCCCAAAGGGTCCATTATAACCTAACAGACTCCCCGATATATAGAAACTTTGTTCAATGCCTTCTCGGTTCTCTGCCTTACCTGAGAAGGGCTGTCGGCGGTATCGCAGCTTCTTGCCGTTCTTGCGCAGCTGCTTGGGCACGGGCGGGTCGGAGGTGCGCTTGCTGGTGCTCTCCTTGGCGTTGTCCGAGGCGTTGAAGTGGTTGTTCACGTGCTTCTGCAGGGCGAGCTGGGGGCGAAAGGAGACACAAGTTAGCCATCGCATGCTCTCGGGCGCTCCTCCGTTTCAGTTTGGGTCGTCACTTACCTGTGAGCCAAAGCGCAGGCCGCAGCCCTCGACGATGCACTTGAATTGCTTTGAGCCGCCGTGCGAGAGCACGTGGCGCTCCAGCCAGCGGCGGGAGCAGGACTCTTTGTTGTACACCTTGCAGCCCACCCAGAGGCAGGCGAAGGGACCCGTCTGCGTGTTGACATGATGCGTCTGCATGTGGTCCAGGAGCTTCGAGTTGCTCTCGTGCTTCTTGTTGCACTTGTCCCAATAGCAGACGCCGTCATGCCGCTTCGCCCCCTTGCCGCCTGCTCCTGCGCCGGCCGGAAAGCGGATCGTCTTGGGCTGCGACAGAATCGGCGATATGGCGCACTTGGGCAACACTTTGCTGGCGCTCTCCGCCAGCGTGGTATCCACCATGGGCGAGGCCGTGGAGCAGTCGTCGATGCTGTTGCTGTTGCTGTTGCTGCCGGGTGAGGCGGGGGAGGGCGCATTGCTGGCCAGCGAGTTGCTGTCGGAGGCGTTGCAGCTGTTGCTGCTGGCCGACGTCGGCGGACAGACGGACTTTGAAGAGCTGCAGGGAGTGAGAGAGTGAGTGAGTGAGAGGAAGAGACAGAGTGAATGTAGATCGCTTACATTGCATCCGCAATGGAGTTGCTGCTTTCGCTGTTGCTGAGGCTGCCGCCTATTCCGGACTCGGGCGTGAGCCGCTTGTGCGTGGCCGTCTCCGAGGAGGCCACCGACTTGTCGTCCTCCTCGTCGTAGTTGCTGCTGCTGCTGCTGCTGACAGCAGTGACTCCTGCTGCTGCAGCTGCTGCTGTCGCAGCCATTGCTGGCGTCGCGGCCTGCGAGCAGTCCTCCGTGCCACTGGAGTTGCAGGAGGAGGTGACCAGCTCGCTCAGCATGTCCTGCTGGCTGGCGTTGCCCTCGGGCGAGCACATCTGCTGCGTCTGGCTGCTGCTGCTGCTGCTGCTGCTGCTGTTGCTGGCGGCCGGCGAGGGCGCCGAGCTGAGCGACGCCGGCGTGGAGGCCTCCAGCGAGAGATCCGCCGCGCTGCTCACCGAGTTGCTGCCGGTGTAGCTGCTGCTGCAGTTCGAGTTGCACTCGGCGGCCAGCAGCTCGTGCTTCGAGGGCTCTGCGCGCCGCCCGCTCGCCAGCTGCAGCTGCCCGGCGAAGCTCTGCGGCTTGGGCGTGCTCGACAGCGGGGGCGTGGCCGACTCCTCCATGGGCTCCGCCTTGATGGCCACCAGCGACTTGCCGAAGGCCGACAGTGTGCTCGACGAGTGGGCGGAGAGGGCAGGCGAGGCGCGTGCCGATTGCTGCGAGTTGCTGTTGTTGCTGTTGCTGCTGGGCGAACTGAAGGGCAGCGGCGTTAGTGTGCTGGGGGCAGGTGTGGGCGTGGCACTCTTGCCCACAATGCTAATGGCGCCATTGGAGTTCTTGACCAGATCAAAGAGATCAGCACTGCTCGAGATCTTGGCAATTGTCGCTGTTGCTGGCGGCAACTGTTGCTGTTGCTGCTGCTGCGGCTGCTGCTTGGCTATGCTGAGCGTCGGCGTCAGCTTGGCGGGCGCAATGCTCACCAGTGGCGGCGTGGGCGTAGTTGTGGGCGTGGCACATTTGCGCAATTGCTGCAGTTCCTTGGCGGCAGCAGCAGCAACAGCGCCAGCGCTGGTTGGCACTAGGGGCGGTGGCGTGGTGGGCGTGGCAATGGCTGTGTACTTGGCTTTGCTAAGTGGCAGCTGTTGCTGCTGCTGGTGTTGCTGTTGCTGTAGCGGCAACTGTTGCTGCTGTGCGCGCTTCTGATAGGGTTTCGCCAGGGCCGCGGGCAGGGAGCGCGACTTGGCGGGGGAGGCGTTCGAGATGGTCACCAAAGGAGGCGGACCCTTGCTGATGGCACGTTGTTGCTGCTGTTGCTGTTGCTGTTGCTGTGGTTGCTGGGCAGTGTTGCTTACAGTATTCGAGGCATTGCTGCTGGCAGTGTTACTGTTGCTGTTGCTGCTGCTATTGCTGCTGCTGCTGCTGTTGGCAGCAGTCAATGGAGGCGGCTGTGTGGCAGTGATTAGTTGTTGCTGTTGCTGCTGCTGCTGTTGTTGATGCTGCTGCTGCTGTTGCTGCTGATGAGAGAGCAACAGCTGGGCCAGCTGCTGCTGCTGTTGCTGCAGCTGCAACTGTTGCTGCTGCTCGCTGGCTGGCTCAAATATGGAACTCAGGGCGGGAATGGGCTGCAGCGCAGGCAGCGCATGATGAGGATGTTGCTGCGGTTGTTGCTGCTGTTGTTGCAGTGCGACTGCAGCAGCTACTTTCTGCTGCTGCTGTTGTTGCTGCTGGTTGTTGGCTGCAATTGCGGCTGCAGCCTGGGCCAGCATTGCAGGCAGCGTGGCAGCATTCAGCAGGAGACCCGCTGGCGTCGCCATGAAAACGGGCTGCGCTGCTGCTGCGGCTCCCAGGCGCTGAAAGTGTTGCTGCTGCTGTTGTTGATGGTGTTGCTGCTGCTGCTGCTGTTGTTGTTGCTGCTGCTGCTGTGCGGCGATTGCTGCTGCAATCTGCTGCTGGAACAGCTCCTGCAAATTGGCTGCCCCATTGGCAGCTGTGGGCGTGGCAGCCACCGCTGCAGCAGCCGCCTTAACAGCCGCCGCCTGCTGCAGCTGCAACTGTTGCTGTTGCTGCTGCTGCTGCTTCAGCAATAGCTCCTGCAGCTCGTTCAGCCCGAAAGGATTCGCGCTGGCTGCTGCTGCCGTCGCCGTTGTCGCCGTCGTCGTCGTCGCCGTCGTCACCTGCTGCAGCTTGAAGACGGTCCCGTTGAGGAAATACTGCGCTGCCTGCGCCGCCTGCGCCGAGGCGGCTGCTGCTGCTGCATTGTTGCTGGCGGCGGCGGCAACTGCTGCCTTGGCCACGTTGTTCAGCTGCATGATGTTGGCGGCGGCCGCCAGCTGCGGCGGCAGATGCACCAGGTTCGGCAGCTGCACCGGCAGCTGGTAGAGCGTCGGGTTAGGAGTGGGCGTGGCAGCTGCAGCAGCAGCCAGTTGCAGCTTCTGGCAGGGCTTGGCAGCAACTGTTGCTGACGGGTTGTTGGTGCTGCCGTTGCTGCTGCTATTGTTGCTGTGGGGTGCGCGGTATCCTGCTGCTGGGAGCAATGTCTTCGACGTCTGCGACTGCAACTGTTGCTGCTGCTTCATCTCCGGCGTGCGCGGCGCTATGGCCACGTGCTTCTTGGCGGGCGATTTGCCGGTGACCGCGTGGGCATTTCCGGCGTGTGCGTTGTGGGCGTGGCTGTGGCTGTGCGCGTGGCTGTTGCTGCTGGGCGTCTTGCGCAGATTGGGCGCCACCTGAGCAATCTTGGCCGGCTGCTTGCTGCTGCGCTCGATCTTCTTGAGCGCCGGCACCGGCAACACGGCAGCAGTGCCCGCAGCAGCAGCAACTGTTGTCGTTAGCTTGGGCTGCAGCTGTTGCTGCGGCTGCTGTTGTGGCTGCTGTTGTTGTTGCTGCTGCTGCTGCTGCTTCTGCTCATTCAGCTGGGAGAGTATGTTAAAGTATTTGTTGAGCGAGGCTGTTGTTGCTGGCGTGCTCATTGTCAGCGTGTTGGGTGTGGCAGCAGCTGCTGTTGTTGCCGCCGTTGCTGGGGGCGGCGAGGGCGTCGCTGACAACTTGCCCGACGTCGCCTTCATCTGTGACTTGAAGAAGCCCGTGATCTTCGTCTGCGACTCCTCCAAGGCAGCTGCCTTCAGTCTTTTCTCGCTGCTGCTGCTGTTGCTGCTGCTGTTGTTGCTGTTGCCCTGAGGATCTACGCGTGACTTCTTCAAGCCAGTGGCCTCGTTGCTGCTGCTGTTGTGGCTGTTGCTGCTGACCGCGGCGCGCTTCTTGGAGGCTGCCGCAGCAGGAACCGCCGTCGACGTGCTGCCGAGGCTCGTGTTCCATGGCCATTGCAGCGTGGGCAGCGTCGTGTTGCCGTTGCCGTTGCCGTTGCGTTGGGTGATTGCTGTTGCAGTTGCAGTTGGAGTCGCACTTGTCGCTGTTGTGATTTTGGCAGTGTTGCTGTTGCTTCTGGTTGCATTCGCTGTGATTGTTGCTGCTGCAGCGGCAGTTGGTGCAGGGCTGCTGCTGGAGTTGCTGTTGCTGCTGCTGTTGCTGCTGGGCGCAGCGCTGAGTATTTGTGGCGGCATTTTGTGTAGCTGCTGCTCGTCGCTCAGTAGCGAGTGCGCACTGTACGGGGAGCCAGGCTCGGATGCATCCTCACTGGATCCTGTGCTGGAGTCGGCGCAGCTGAGGGAGGTGGCAACGCCGCTGCAAAGAAAAAGAAAAGCAAAAGCAGAAGCAGAGGCAAATGCAAATGCAATGCAATTGCATCGGATAACAGTTAAAAACGGCAAACACAATAATGCAAAATTAATGTTAAGTTAATTTCAGCCACACCTCTGGGCAGCGAGACGCGCGTTTGCTGCTGCTGCTGCCCCACAGGTGCAGCCAGTGAGTTTTACGTGGAACGCATTTCGTGAGTACTTTAATTCATCTTAGCTGCATTTTTCTTCACCAGCACAAACATAATAAGCACAATAACAATTCGCTTGAGTGTTTTTTCCATGCAGCTTTTTTTTTTTTTATTATTATCATTGGCTGTTAGCTTACATTGCGCGCATCACTAGCACGCTGTTACGCTCGTTCACAATAACAAACGTATCAGCTGTGTAATTTCCCAAACAATCGAAAATGACAGGCAGAGTGAGCTAGCAAAAGCTGATTGCTACGGCCTGATGGTCAGCTTACGGCGCTTACATTCGAAATGTGGAATGTAAAAGAAATATTAACACGGACCCTATATATATATAACAGAACTCTTATACATTAACTAAGTATTTATATATATGTTATTATTCATAAACAAACTAACAAAAGTCCTCTGTGTGCCTTTTAATACATTAAAAAAAAAAACGACAGCCAGCGAGAGGCGAAAGAGAGAGAGATAAGATACACAGGCATGCAAGCTGCGATTATGTTGCTGCTGCTGCCTTCTTTCTGTCTCTGCTTCAGCTGATGAGAACAGCGCACGCGAGTTAACGAACGAACGAGCGAACAAACGAACGAATAAAAGACCGAAAGAGCGAAAGAAACGCATATGTAGCACACAAAAACACACAAAACCAAAAACGGGTCGATAAACGAAAGCATAAGGTAAACAAAAAAATAATACCACACGCACACATACACAGAGGCAGAGGCAGAGGCAAAGGCAGGCACAGACAGCGTATAGTGCAAGAAGCAGCAGCCGAAAAGGAAGAAAAATAAATTCAATTCCCATTCCATGCCCTTTTGCCAGCGTGTTTTTGTTGTTTTTGTGTTTGTTGTTTCTTTACTTCTCTCCGTGTATTCGCCTGTCCCGCTGGTTGTCTGTCGACGTTGACCGCGTGCAACATAACGAACCAACAACAACAGCAACAACAAGAAGTTGGAACGCGAGCATTCTAATGCGGGAAAATTTCAGTTTCAGGTAGCAGAGGCGCAGGCAAACAATCCGAGTGCCGTTTTATGCTGCTGCAAGGGGAAATGAAATGGGAAGTGGACTGCACGTAGGCAGCGTCGTTGCTGTTGCTGTGTTGTGACCCCCCTAAGCCCGCGTTTGATGTTTGTTTGAAATTCTTGTTTCTTTTTTTTAATACTTTTTATGTGTGCATATTTAACAGAATTAATAAAAAGCGTTGAGCGTGAGGCTTTTTCACACACTCACACTCATACACATGCAATCACATTACATATGCACTTGCGCTGCCTTCTTTTTACAGCTTGTGTTATGTTATTTTTATCTATACATTTTTTTCATTTGCTTTGCTATCTTTCTATTTTGTATGCAGCCGCTGTGGTTGTCAATGCTGATTGCACTTGATTCAATTTTGGTTTTTACAGTATTTTTGGGAGTTTTGAATTTTAGTACTTCATTTTCCTCTTTCTGTGGCTAAAGAATTTGGAGTGACGACGCCGACAGTAATAGCGACAGCGACAGCAGCTTAGGCATCGGCGTCTGTGCTGGCATTTCACCTGCTCCGCTACCTAAACCTAAGCGTTAGCCTCAGTCACTGCTTCTGCCGGCTGCGACGCCAGCATTCCTGTTAAACGCATCGTTAAAAGTTTAGCTTTGTTAAGTTGCCGTCGCTCTTGCTGTTGCGTTCTTGGGTTTGGGATGGGACTTTGATGAGTTTTCTGTTAATGCTCAGATACCAAGCACACATGTAAACAAAGATGACATGTCTGTAAATAGTACGCACATATACGAAAAATCAAATTGATGTCACTTAAAAACTCAAAATATTTTGAATGGATTAAAGGTTGTTTACCTCTCGAGCAGGATATCTTGCCATTCATTTCACATAACTATGAAGATTCCATTTGTATAAGATTAATACTGGACTGAATATATAACCCAACTGGAAATATCACCGTTTCAAATAGTCTAAATGCATATACATACATGCATACATATCTGATAATAAATACATATGCTGTCTGTACTCTCATGTATGTATATGTACTTATGTTTACTTTTCTTTACAGGTCGTATCTTGAATAATACTTTGGGAATATTTATTTAATGGATGTAATACGATTTTTAAAAATATCTCACGATTTGTTTTCTCTGTCTGAAGATATTTTCTTAAATACTTTTTTGTTTTTAATTGGAATTCACTTAGTGATTGCAGTTTTAGATTGTTTTTCTATTTAAGTTGACGTAGTTAATGTTAACTGTAAAAATATGTATCTGTTTTTCTCCTTCCTTAATATTGTCTTTTTCACGTCGTTTACAAATAAATGTTTCTTTTATCAACGTTTATCTGTAAGAATTAAATATTGTAATTTGAGTTTCCCAAATACTACGATTAATTTTTCAAAGTTACTTTCAACGAAATTCATCAATTTCTTGTATGACTTTCTGGTATTATTATAGAATATTTTGTATTTATTCCACATTTCGAAACACTAATGGATTTGAATTACTTCGCTTTATTCACAGTTTTCCATTTATTCACACATTTGCATTTCATGTTTCACCGACGGCATTTCACCTGTAAAGAACATTTCCCGATTTTTTATATGTACGATTCTACGCCTTTACAGGATATTTACTTTTCATATCTTTTTGGTTTTGGTGATTTATTTCAATTTGGGGCTTTTAATTACATATTCCACAATTTATTAATTTTTTATTTTTTATTTTTTTCTTAACAATATATTTTATTATATATATTAGGCACACACTAAACATTTCATTTATTTCCCATCGTTGATGTGATTGTGGTTGTTGTTTTTACACACTTCATATTAAATTCATTGGCGGCCTGTCTAATAGTAGCAATGCCAACAATTTAAATTTTATTAGAAAATCCCATTAGATACACACACACATTCAAATGCACACATACACATATTCATGTATACAAAGTGACTTCCACTTCCGCTTGTAAGATGCCTGTATGTGTGTGTGTGTATCCACCACCCAGCACAAATTCCAACCCCTGCCCATTCCATCCCCTCCTCCATCTCTTGCACAATTGAGCATGCTTCATTTGCGAGGTATGAATGAAAAGCGCGCGTCGATTTGGGTGGGCAAAGCGCGACAACAAAAATGAGAGAAAGAGAAAAATAGGAAAGGAAGAGACTGCGAGAGGAGGGCGAAAGACTGAGAGAGAAGGCGAAAAAGAAATCATTGCATATTTGCGTGGGCAAACAAAAATAAACAATGCTGACAGTTTATTTAACATATGATGTAAATGTAAACGCTGCTGTAATAGTTTGACAAAATTAAAGCACACACATACGAGGCATGCACATATTAACATATGTATGCATGTGTATACATGTATGTGTGTATGCATGTATGTAACGCACACTTCACTACACACAACTACACTACTACAAACACATGCGCAGCAGCTGAGAGGGAGCAATGCACGCGACGACAACGGCGACAGCGACGACGACAGCGACGTAATCGTTGCCCCCTTTTGATTACTTTTATTTTTAACACACACACACACACGCTTATATGCAGAGGCCGTCGCATCTTTGCAGACGTTCAGTTCTTGTTTTTTTTCTTTCTTATTTTTTTTCTGTAGTAAATATACATATTTAACTATGCTTGTTGTCGTATACTAACATTTAATGTTAGACAGCAGCTCCTCCAACGGCGACGACGGCGACTATCCAAAGCGCAGTGGCAGCGCACGCTACCAGCACTTAAAGCTTAAATGTTTCACACGCACACACATACATAAGCACACTCACACCCAACACTTAGTCTCACACATAGACCGAATCACAGCACACGCACGTTTGTTTGTTTCTTTCTTCTGCTGCTTGTGCATTTGTTATTGCAATTGGGATATTTGAGCACTTTGTGGTACTTGCATTTGCATTTCTATTTGTATTTTCATTATTTTATGCTAGCAGAGAATACACATAAACACATAGAACATTGTTTTAATTAATCCACATAAAAAACCAAGTTCTCAAACGTTTGTTTGTTCGTGCGCTCGTTGCCCGTTTCGTTGCCGTTCGTCCGCTTGCAATCTGCAGACGCGTCCGTCGCGTCAAAGAGAAAATGGCTGAATGATGTGAAAGAGAAAATGAAAGACTGATTTATAGAATTCGTAAAAGGCCAGCAGCAGCAGCATAAGCGGCACCAGCAGAGGCAGCAGCAAGAAATTCCCTGTTTTTGTGTTGTTTGTTGTTCAACTCGGAGCGAAGCCGTCGCACAGTCGCGTCGCGACGCGTCGGCTGTTTTGTTTGTTCACTCTTGTTCTTGTTCGCTCTCTCGCGCATTCTCTCTGTCTATCTGTCTCTCTTGAGCGATCAGAGAATTTCCCTGTATAAAAAGGGCCCATGGGACATTCTAACGGCAACTTCGGCCGAAAGAGCGTTAACTGAACCCCCTGTCTGGCGAGGACTATAGCAATGCCACTCGCTGCTTCTGCTTCGGCTTCGGCTTTGCCGAGTCGGCACACGACCAGTGCACCCACACACACACGTACGCACGCTTATGCATTCTTTTATGGTTCGTTTCCTCGCGCTCTCACTCGCTCTCATTCGCTCTGTAAATGTGTCTCTGCCTGTGCTCTCTCAGAGTGCAGGGCCAGCAACCCTCGCGATGCTCTTGCCTCTTGCTGCTTTCAGTTCCCTACTTTTTTGCCCATTATTATTATTATTTTTATTTATATTTTACTGCATGTTATTCTTGTTGTTGTTGTTGCAGGCACGTTAAATATTTCCTGTTTGTATGTCGTCGTCGCTTCGTCGTC